TTTGCTTTTGTGGTTGTTTTGTAGAAGCACACCCGAGATTATGCCAATATCTCACTGTACTTTCCGCTCTGAGTCTCAGCATCCGACAACACGCATCTAAGCTACTGCAATAGTTTCTCAGTTGAGTCTCTTTTATTGCTGCCAATCTTCCTGCTTTTATTTATCAGCATTGCTGCATGTCTCTTTTCCAGAATTCGATAATTTATTAAGCTTTTTATTTATATCAATATGCAATCACTGGTTTTTATTTTTATTCCAGGTAGTACAATCCATAACCTCCATTTATTTGCTGTTCAACTGTTTTCATGTTTAACCGAGAGACCTTTGTGTGGCTCTGCCATTCTTCCAACATGCCATGGTCCCTTTTTGAGTATTTCTTTTTTTTCTGGTAGTGTAAGTCATTTAAAGCTCATTTTGTCTTCTCCCTGCTCTGGTGGAGAACTCGCCAAAGACTTTTCACTCTGGTAGAAATGGTATTGAGAAATTAAGGTTTGGGTGCTCACAGCTCCAGGGGAGATCTTTTTTATTCCCAGGTTATTTCAGGGAAGAGAGCTAGGAAAGATGTCCAAATACATGCATACATGACTCTGTCTATAATTATCTATCATGCGTCTGTCTGTCTGTCTATCTGTCTGTTTTCCACCTATTCATGCATTAATAATGCCTCCAGTTCCACACCAGTGCACAGGGTTCATTCTAGTCTCCACTTTAGAATCTCTAGCTCCCTCCCCCAGCAGAAATAAATTTAGCTTCTTTATTCATAACACAGTCGCTTACTCACTCCTGTAATGCACAGAAAGTATTTTAAGAATTATAACCCAGAGGGACTGGAGAGATGGCTCAGCGGTTAAGAGCACTGACTGTTTTTTCAGAGGACCCAGGTTCAATTCTCAGCACCCACATGGCAGCTCACGATTGTCTGTAACTCCAGTTCCAGGAGACCTGACACCAATGGCAAAAATCAATGCATATAAAAAATAAAAAGCAAATTAAAATTCCTTCTAAAAGTCTTTAAAAAAAGAATTATAACCCATAAATGCAAGACACATATTTGTGAAATAGTTTCTGTCTTTTTTGAAAAAAAAAAGCATAGTCAAAATATGGTGTATATGTGTTTACACTCCTGTGTGTGTTTACTCCTGTTTATGCTGGTGTATGTATGCTTGTGTGTGTGCACATGTGTATGCATGCTCGAGTTTGTGTGTGCTCGTGTATGGGGTACAATAAAGTGATGCTCTCCACCTTATTGCCTTGAGTCAGGGTCTCTTCCTGAATTAGAAGCTTGCTGGCTGGCCTGCAGGCTCTCAGGATCCACCTGTTTCTGCAACCCCTAGTGCTATGGGTTACAGACGCTGGCTTTTTTTATTTGGGTGCTGGGGATTTGAACTCAGGTCTTCATGCTTGCAGAGTAAGTGCTCTTACACACTGAACAATCTCCCCAGGCCAGCTTCTGACTTTAGTTTCCGTTCTTGTCCCTGCCCCTTGGTATGATTCCTAGCACAGTTACATTAATATCTTCTATTTGTAGCTCATTTTGGATTCCACCTCTCCTCTGTTCACACTAGGAGTGTTGATTTGCTTGCTTGTCTGTTATCTGATGGCTTTCAAGTTTGAACTATGTAAAAAGGCATACCAGTGAATTCCCTTCTCTCTGCTCCCACTCTGCCTTATTTCCATGATTTCTCTGCATGATCTCTGTAGGCAATCAATCATATCTGTTTTCAGTTTGCTCTTGTACCTATGTGCAAATCTGTGTGTATTTTCCCAGGCACCCCTTTCTCACAGTGAAAACTAGAGCAACGGGACAAATATCCTCCTGGCTCCTGGGCAGCCGGGACTGGCAGCAGATTGCTGATGCGAAGAACAGACATATCTCAGTGCTGGAATGGACCTCGTCTGCTTCTCCTGCCCCATGGATGAGCAAGACAGAATTCCCTGCTCCAGGACTTTCCCGGGATACCATCACCTTTCACATTGTTTTGAGCTCTGTATCCTTTGCAGATGAGGTCAACATGGATGAAGATCCTGCTCGGCAACAGGCAAGAGAATGACAGTCTAGAATGCTGTCTTTAACGTGTGTGCTCCGTGCCGGTGACTGTCAGGGCGACGACGGCTCCTGTCATCCACAGGATCCCGACACCAGAAAGGGCGAGAGAGCTCATCAAATGCACCTCTTCTCTCTTCCAAACTAACAGTTGATTCGTGCCAGAGAGATGCTAATCTTAGTCTTAGGAAGTGTTCTGGGAATCTGGAAAAGTCTTTAGCTTCTGTCTCTTGATTTGGGCACACTTCCTTATTGGTGCTTAAGTTAGCAGGAACATGAAGAAGCTGACAGTCTGGTCACAGACAGTCTAAGACTGGCAAGCAAGGAAGCTGGCTTCGAGGACTCAGAAGCAGGAAGCATCAGGTTGAGTCTCGACAAGACATAAACATCAGATTCACGCGGATCCTTTCCTTTTCCAACTTCAGGAAACAAAAATGTGGGCACAGTTGTGTCACCCGGAGGGTGGTGACATTTGGATTTCATCTGTTGCAAGTCACTCGCAGAATTTAGTTTACAGAGCACTTGGCTTCCAGCCTTGTATTCTCTCCTGAGGAAGAGGGATTTCCATCTAAAAGACAACACTGATTTTTTGAGTTGCTCCAGTGTGCCCAGGACTGTGCTCTGTTTATCCTGAAAGTCTTAAACAGCTGGTAGTACTACCCCCATTTCACTGATGAAAACGATAAGGTTCAGAAGTGACACCCTCAGATTGCTTGATTGTTCTAAGATGACTATTAAATTTGAACATGGGTTTATGTGCCCCATTGTTACTCAAAGGCAGAATTTTCAGAGAAGCGTTACATCCTAGGTAGCAATCCTGCCTAGAATGATGGAGATGGACATGTTCACCTGCGCATCCTGGATCTATGAGACCGAGCCTGCACATTCTGAATGTCTGCCCACACAGACAACCATGGAAGCCGTGGAAGGGAGAGGGACGCCTTCTTGCTCCCACGTATCTTCACCCTTCACTTCCAGGTCAGACTCAGCCAACCAGTGAGAGCCCGTACTTCCTCCCTTTAATCTGCCCTTCCTCCCATAAAACACACACCAGTGTTTGCACAACTGCCCACCCACAGGTCATAGAATGATTCTGCCAAACTCCACTTCCGCCGTAGGCCTGCTGCGCCTCTCTGGAACCACAGTGTAGTACTCCCAGGGTAGCACGTGAATGATGACTCAGGGAGGCAGCTACCCAAAACATCTGGGGGGCACTGAGCCCACTCTGCCAGGCTTACAGGAGGCTTACTTCTATATTCGGAAGATGGCTTGCACCCAGCAGCAGCAAGTCTCTGGTGGGATATGGCAGACATCTAAGATCCAAGTGAAAGCAGAACAGTCAGTTTGGCTTTTAAAATTATGCATAAGGGTTTTCAGTCGCTTACACAAAATCTCTTGAAAAGAGAGGAGCAGCTCTTAATCCACCCCACCAGTGCAAGACAATGACGGGAAGTTCTTCCTATCTGGGTACAAGAGGATAGACCAGTGGGATCAGGTGGGTGGAGCCTCATGTTCTTGGTGGGGGCAAAATGAATGTCCTCACCGGACCTTTCTGCCCTTTTCAAAATGACAATGGTCAAGTATGAATTGACATTCTTGCATCTTGGAAAACTTCCTTCCTTCCTTCCTTCCTTCCTTCCTTCCTTCCTTCCTTCCTTTCTCTCTCTCTCTCTCTCTCTCTCTCTCTCTGTCTCTGTCTCTGTCTCTGTCTCTCTCTCTCTCGAGAGACAGAGACAGAGAGAGAGAGGGAGGAGGGAGAAACTTTTTTATGTGAACACTGGGGATTGAACTAAGATCCTCATGCTGGTGTAGCAAACATTTCCTTCAGGCTCTCCTCAGCTCTTTAAAGCAGACTACCTCAGAAGGACAGGCATATGGGGAAGCTTGGATATTCAGATAAAACAGGAAGGCGTTGTTCACACTAGGAGAATGGGGGGAATGGGCCTGACATTGTGGTGAAGATGCAGAGGGGCAGGAGCAGGCTGTATGTGGCTCTGGTTGGTGTGAGGACAGCTTCCCTTTCTCACGGATGGAGAAGGAACAGGTGGCCCTTCCGACCAGCTCACGGTTAGTCTCGTGTTGCTCCTAGACTCCCATTAAGCCTCAGTCTCGACTGAAGTTTTTAACTCATGGTTCTCCCTTAATCATTCCGTGAGCCAACAGGGAACCAACTTGTGTCTATGGATTAGAGAGCTTGTCAAGTTACTGTCCTTCTGCCTTTTGAGAGCCTCTAATGGTAGAGCTTGTTCAATATCGGAGCCCTCACCAGTTCTGAGAGATCAGGTCTTCCCCTGGAGCTAGGAAGCAGGGAGCAGACGTTTGGGTGTGTGAGTATGTGGGGGTGTGTAGAGAGTGCACACAGAAACTGCCACACCCACATCCCACATACCATGATAGGGTGCAGTCATTTGTCACCCTTAATCCTAACCGTCTCATCGCTCTCAGAAGTTTTGATCTTTGATGGTAAAGGGTCCCTAAGGACACAGACAAGAGGACCGGGCAGACGGGCACCCTTCCAGCAACAGCCACTTACCTGCTCCCCCTTCTGGGCATCCCCACCGGCTCATCGTCGTCACAGCATACACTACTGAGAGGAGAAGGGGGTCATGTCCGGCTCACTTAGGCCACAAGACTACATAGTTCACTTAAGGCATATACAGCGTGTTCGGAAACTTAGAGGAAGAATTGCTCCAAATTATTAAGAATGAGCTACAATGCCGGGTGGTGGTGGTATATGCCTTTAATCCCAGCACTGAGGAGGCAGAGGCAGGAGGATCTCTGTGAGTCTGGGGCTAGCCTGGTCTTCTGAGGGAATTCCAGGACAGGCTCCAAAGCTATACAGAGAAACCCTGTCTCGAGAAAAAACAAACAAACAAATCAACCAACCAACCAACCAACCAACCAAACAAACAAACAAAAAATCAAGCTATAATATATCCCCTTGTTGGGGAAAAGAAAAAACCAGCATCCTGGTGTTTTGGAAGGTGCTGAGTCTCTGAGAAAGACAAGGTACAAGAACCCTGGTTAAGGAGGCAGTGACAGCAGTACGGAGAGGCAATCTGGCTGACAGGACACTGCAGCAGGTGAGCTGTTCATGTGTGAATTTCAAGTCCTGGGGTCCAGCTTCAACGATGTTACTAAATGACAGAATGACTCTCCTTTCTCAGGAGGCTGGAGGGAGCTCTTCTGAGATTTCCTTCCATTCTAATAGTCTCTCTGTGTGTGTGGGTTTCCATCGTTGGAACTGAGGAAACCTGAAAACTTTCCCAAAAAACCTCATTTTTTTAGTTACATGAGCGTATGTCTGTGTATGAGTGTGTGTGAGTGCAGGGGTTCCTGGGACCCGGAAAAGGGTGCTGGGTGCTCTGGAGCTGAAAACGGAGTTATAGGCAGTTGTGAATGGGCGCTGGGAACTGAACCTTGGTCCTCTGCAAGAGCCTTACACACCCTTAACCATGAAGCCACCCCTCCAGCCCCCAGGGAACCTGAAGGCTTTTGAATAGCAGGGAGAAATTCATGACCCACTCTGTATTTATAAAGCCGCTGGGCTGGGCTTCCAGCTCAGTGTTGACCTGCCCTGAAACCAGCCAGGGAGACAGAAAGCAGGAAGAACAGGAACTCCAGAATCACAGGCCACAGCAGTTTATTATGCTTCGAGCCCATGACATGGTTTCTTCCAGGTAGAAATGGACGAGTGTGTGGGGTGCCCATTACTCGGCTTTCTCAGACCAGGGAGTGCCCCTGCTATCAGTGAACTATGAGATCTCGAGACATGAATATAGCCCACAGTGCAAGAAACGACAGGGAAAGGCAGTGGGTAAAGAGATACCGGACCAGCTCCCCTTGGCCTCAGGCCACTACCAGAAGACCCCGAGAGAGAGAGGCACGGCAGACATGAGCGAGTCTCCACTACTGCGGAAACTCATCCCACAGCTGATGTGACCGTAGTCACGTGTGCGACGCCGTCCATCTTTTTAAGTTTTCTGCCTCCTCTGTCTCATTCAACTTCTCTTCTCTGGTTTGGCCACTCGGCTCCACTCGGTTCTGGACAGGCTGAACTTTATGCCTGTGAAATCTCAACCAGGAACAGAGCTCTGAACAGTGACTCCTTTACATAGTATCAGTGATATGGAAGGCTTCTCTCTCTCTCCTCCTCCCTCCCACTCCTGGGAGACACATCTTTAGAACGATCTATGCAAGTACTCAGCAGCGCAACTGCTTTGAGTACAAACACATGCTTGGACTCAAGCCTCTTCCTTCTTCACCTCAGACAGGGAAGACGCCAGCCCTGAGCTGTGAGGCCGCAAAGGCTCTAGGGAGAGCCAGTCTCTTCGGGTGGGTTGGTGCTGGCTGGGCAGGAGACCTAGCTACTCCTTCAGCAGTCCCAGCTTCTTTAGGGCCTCCCTCCTGTGTCCATCGGGAATGTCCTTTGGGGTTATCTTGACACTGACACAGGGGGGTCGAGGAAGCTTGTCACGGCTCTGCCCTTGGAAGGCCAGCTGCTGGGAATGCTGGCTCTGCTCCAGGCCAACCAACTTGCCCCCCTGGATTTCCGCAAAGTCCTTTCCCATGCCCAAGGAGGCAGGCCGGGGCCGGGAATTACGCAAGACACTAGGTGAAACCTTGCCCAAGACGGGGCTCTTTCCCAGAGATGTACTGGTTTGGCACTTGGAGTCTTTCTCAGCTGCCGAGAGATAGCTGCTCAACCCCACGCCTGAACGCTCCAGGGTATTGGACTTGAAGTTCATCTGTCTCAGGCCAGGGATGCTACTCTCCTGGAGGGTCAGTCGTGGATCAGGCTTGGGCTGTGTCAGGGAACTGTTTCCCTTTGAGGCTTTAGGGATAGGAATAGGCAGAGACTTGGCAGCTGCAACCTTCCCTGGAGGGGTTTCCTGGGCAGGAATCCAGCTCTTGCCTGAAGAGGCCACAGGAGTGGCAGCCTTCACTGGGGAAGCTTTCCCTGCTGCAGAAGCAGCCCCTGGGACCAGAGCTGGAGATGCTTGCTGAACCGTGGCCTGGGCCTGGGAAGGGCTCTGAGCCCGAGGCGCCTTGACTTTAAGGGAGGTAGTACGCTTATTTACAAGCAAGCTGGGGTCATCTTGGTCCTGGGGCAAGCCTAGCTTTTCCAGAGCTTCTCTGCGGGCTTTCTTTTGTTCCTGTAGGGAAGAAGGGGCAGGCCCAGAGTCTGCGGCCTCGCTGTGATTTGACAGCCAGTTCTGGGGATGGCTGTGGAAACTGCTTCGGCTGCTCTTCAATACGATATTGGGAGGCAGCCTACGGGGCTTTGAGGTTGTGGGGGGAGCCTGTTGGAGACTTGGCTTGACCCCTGATGGTAGGGGAGCCTCTTCAGCTCTTGTGTTCTGAGATGACTTGTCAGGAGGCTGCTGGGGTTGTTGTGAACCTTCTGTCCAACCTTGCTCGGTGGCTTTGTGGGACATAGTTTCTGAAGATGTTTCCTCTTTCTTCTGGGAGCTGACCACAGTATGGGCCTGTGGTGTGTGTCTCTTCTCTCCTGGTTCTTTAGGTGGGCTCTCTTCCCCACTTTGCTTTGGTCGACTGTCTTGAAAAGCCTCCGGTGGGGGAATGAGAACTGTGTTCAGGTCAAGGGCAGTGTCGTGGGATGGGGCTGGTGACTGGATGGCCTTAGCGTCCTGGCTGCTCTGCCCTTTCTCAGGCTCTGCTAAGAACACCTCAGATGTTTCAGATATGTGGCTATTAATCTGGGTGGCGCTTTCCCTGCGGTTCTGGCTTCTGCCAAGGTGGAGGTTTCTGGGAAGGCTGTAGGAACCAGACCTGAGGCCCAGACTAGGAGACTCAGGAGGACCGGAGAACTGGGATACTCTAGTTGGTGCAGGAACGTGCTGAGAGTCTATCTCGTCTGGGTTTCCTGTGGGGATTGGGAAGAACAGGAGAAGCGTCAACAGAGCGAGAATGCCGTTACTGAGCGGAGCAGAGCGGAAAGCACACACTTCCCCAATGAACAGGGTTTGTTTGACTTTGCTTGACTTTTACAGGGCAGCAGTGTTTCCTGGAGGTCATGTAGACTAATAGATCAAAAATGACAGGTTGTTTTTGACTGGGAATTGATTTTTTTTTTATAGGGGTTGGAAGATATCACTTCTTAGTTGCTTCAAAGCCTTCAAAGCCTTACCTCAGGCTCTCCTCACCTTCTAGGCAGGTACCAAAGCCAGGGGGAGATTTGGACATGGTCTTCACGCTATCTCATGGAGCCCAGGTAACTGAGCCCAGTGGAAGCTCTTGCTGCCAACTTGACATGCTTTGGCCTTCTGCTTTCACTTTCTGTGAGATCCTGGATGGTTCTGCGACAGCAGCGTTATGCCTGGCACCCTCGAGTGACATGCTATCTCGCCTAGTGATCTTGGCAGGTGCGTGAGGTCCACCAGGCTCGGTGAATTAGCCTCGGGGTACGTGAAGTTTCCATTTCTACTCTGTCTAAATGGAGGGCCCAAGGCTGTGTTAAGTAGTTATAAATATTTACTGAATGAATAAAGATACCATTGGGATTGTCCACAGTAGCAATGTTTTCTGTTTACCTTGGGACACATTCCTCAACTCCTGTGCGCCGTCCCAACCTCCTCTGCTGAAGTGGAATGGCGCTGTCTTTCTGCTGTCTCCTCACAGGGGCCTCTGGGTACTGCATGCTGCTGGGGAGCTCCTCTCTTATCTCCCAGTCTTGTCCTTTGGGTCACCTAGATTAGCTCCCTGTGCCAAATCATCCTCTCCTGGGCCAGTGGCTTAGGCCACTCTGACTCCTCCCTATGTGTGGTATCATTATCTCTTTTTGAGTTCTTCCCTGACAGGAAGAGAGCAAGCAAACCCCTTTCCCTTCCAGGCCTCTGTTACTTCATAGAAAGTCACCAGAGGTTGGCTTCTCAGGAGTGCCCCCCCCACCCCGGAGATAAGAATTTAGTCTGGCCAGGAGACTGGAGACTGCGGGGTTCCTTTTGCCTAAAAGCTTGCAGCAGAGGGCAAACAAGATGGCAAACATTCAGAAGGAGACACTGGTCTGAGCGCTGCCTCCCTAGATGGTCTCTTACCCTGGGGAGTCTGCTGGGTGAGGGGTGGTGTTCTGAAGCTCCGAGGACTGGTGGTTGGCTCTGACTCGTCTGTGGACAGTCCACTGTCAGCCTCGGCCTCCAGGGAGCCAATGGTCTTCTCCAGGAAGAGCAGACACTCCTTCTCTTCAGCAGACAAGAAGTCGTAGCTGGTGTCAGTCTGCTGGGAGAAGGAATTGTGAGGCGGGGGTCCCGAGACTCCCCCTGCCCCAGAGGGAGAAGGCTGCCAAGCTGGCCACCTGGCCCCGGTTCTGCTCTGCCAACCGGTGAAGTTGCTTCCTGCCACAGTAGGTACCGAGGAGGACTGGCAGGAGAAAGCTCACTGGGATCCAGTTCTGAAGGCTGGGTAGGCAGATGGCAAGGGCGCTTTCTATAGATTAGTCCTGAGTAGGTAGAGTGCTTAGTGGCCCAGATCGGAAGTAGCCCCAAGTTTTCATTCTAGTTCCTCATGATCTTAATATTTCAACAAGTATGTCTCCCATCGATTTGTATGGGTACCGATCTGGCTAACACCCAGCTGTCACTCCTTTAACCTTGTGGAGCACTTTGCCTCCTCTTGGCTGCTACCTGGTGGGCCAGTGCCACCAGCAGCTAGGTAAAAATCCATAGGAGCTATGGGGATATGTGTCACTTGGGCTGAGCTTACTTTTGGCATTTCCACGCCTCTTCCTAATGTCTGTGACATTTCAGCACCGTTACTGTCCAGACTCCCCAAGGTTGCCGGGCAAGGTTGCCAGAGAGTCCCAGAAATCCTCTGGAGAGTGGGGAAGAGGCTGTTAAACCCTCCCCTCCCAGTATTGCCAGCCCCTTAAGTCAGTTGCGTCTGCGTCACAAGGGAGACTCCCCCAAACAGCTCTTTACTTGACTAAAGATCTGCCCTCTGGATTTCTCCTTTATAGATCCAGTGGATATGACTAGTTTATACTAGTGTCCGCCAGTCACAAATAGGATGCTGTCTTTGTGTCCCTGGCCTCTCAAGTCACAAGGAAACTTTGCATGTACTGCCAGTACTTTGCCACCTCTGCCCCATTTTCATATATCAAAACTTATTAACTAGCCATCCAGGTGTGCTGGGCACGCTACTGAGTTCCAGGACGACTGTCTCCAAACCAACCAACAACTATTGTAATGCTAGCATTTGCTAGAAACCTTTTATAACCCTGTTTCCCTTTTTCATGACAGGGGCTTTCCATATAACCCCAGTTATCCTGGAAATTGCTCTTTAGGCAAGGCTGGCCTTGAACTCAGAGACCCACCTGTTCCTGCCTCAGAAGTGCTGGGATTAAAGGTGTGCACGGCCACCACCCCAGTTTCTTTCTTTCCTCTCCCTCTCTCTCCCTCCCTTCCTCCCTCCTTCCCTCCTCTTTTTTTCTTTTTGACGGGTCTCATGTAGCCTGTGCTGGCCCTGCACTTGCTGAGGACGGCCTTGAACTCCTGATTCACCCCTCTCTACCTGGTATCCAGTTGGTTTTCTGTGGTGCCGGAGATCTAACCCAGGACTTCATGCTTGTAGGGTAAACACTTCCCCTGAGCTGCATCTCCAGCTATAGTCTAAATTCTCACCTACTTTTTAGGACATAGGACCATAAAGCTCAGACGCTTCACTACAACGATAGACAGCAAAGGAAGGCTTACATTGGGAGGCAAGCAGATTCACTCCTTTGCCCACACCCTATAACATCCAGAATTTAAAATCATGTCCAGATCCAGTCTGTTTGGATGCTCACCTTCCTGGACCTGGAGGGAGGGGGGAGGAACTTGAACTTCCCACAGGGCAGGAAATCCTGACTGCTCTTAGGGATGGAGAGGGAGGAGGAGAGGGAGTGGGGGGAGTGGGAGGGTGTTGGGAGGGGGGCGGAAATGGAAACTTTTATAATTTAATAAACTTTGAAAAAAAATAAAAAAATAAAATCATGTCCAGAAAAAAATAGCTTATTACATGCCTTCACAGACAGGTAAGCATTGTGATTTTGGATGGTTCTATCTCTAGCCATAGAGGGCTATGTATTTTCTACATAGAGGTAAAAATTAAGTGCTTTATTTATTTTATTATTTAAGAGTTTTTATCATTTATTTTGACTGTGTGTGTTTACGGACATGTGTGTGCTACTGAGTGTATAGCGGTCAGAAGGAAACATGCGGGAGTCAGTTTCTTTGTGCCCTGTGGATTCTGAGAATAGAACTCTGCCTTTATCTCCTGAGATATTTCATGAACCCTTTTCATTTAGACAAAGTTTTAGCATATACACTGGCTGCTGGAGAATATGGTCTCCCTGCCTTAGCTTCCCAGGTGTTGAGACTGGGCGTGTGCCAATATATTCTGCAAGAATAGCTTTTCTTCTCTTATTGTATGAGGCACTAGGGATGGAATCGGGGCTTGGACACACTAGGTAATCAGTCTACTGTTTGGCAGCACCCTAGCCCTAGCTTTCGAAATGCTATTTAATGTTGCTTAGCTGTCCTCTTACCCGAGACACTCCTTTTGGGGAAAGCTTAAGAGACTCAGACAGGTCACATAATTCAGACTGCACAGGGGCTCAGAAAGCTCCAAGATTCACATGGCCTCGCCCCAAGGTTATGTAGGCAATAGACAGATGCAGAGAGGGGAAGGGAAAGAGAAGGGAGGGAGGGAGAGAGAGAGAGAGAGAGAGAGATTCTTTCTTTCTGAGACTATCTGCAACCTGGTCAGGGAGCTACAGGAATGTAGGTTTTAAGCCGTCACTCATGCTGCGAGTCCCCTATGCTCCTGTAAGGAACTCTCCATATTAGGAGCCATCTCGTTGGTCTGCCTGTGCTCTGTCAAGCCTCCCCAGGAAAAGCCATACAGCAAACACATTACTGAACTGAGGACATCTTATTACTCCCTCCAAGAACCATTATAATTAGGTGCTGATATTTTCCCTATTTTAAAACTGAGGAGACTAACTCAGTGTGGTGGCGTACACCTTTAATCCCAGCACTTGGAGAGTCAGAGGCAGGTGGTTCTCTGTGAGTTCAAGGCCAGCCTGGTTGAAATAGTGAATGCCAGGCTAGCCAGGGCAACACAGGGAGACCACAAGCCAGTGTCTCAACCACAAACAAATGAACAACCCCAAGCCAAGGAGACTGAAGCGGAGAGAAGGTGGTGATATGCCCAAGGTCGTACGGCTTCTAAGGAGGGAATCTGGATATGTTTAGCTTAATAAAGGCTCTTAACTATTCTGTCCTCATTGATATTTGTGGGAAACAAAAGCCATGCTATTCATTGCAGAAAATTTTAAGAGTACATGTGCCACAAGAATCTGTCACCCAGTGTCCGCTGTGACCTAAGTGCCTGTTCCTCTTCTCCACCTCATCCCTCTAATCCAATGAAAATGGGCGTGGCTGGGTAGTGATACTTCTGCTCTCCCACCCAGTTCTCTATAGACCCAGAGGTGACTCAGAAGCAGCAAGAATCTAGTGATTCACTCACTGGGGAAGAAGATGAAGGAGAAGGTGCAGGGAGGGATGGTGGGTGGGTGGAGCGGCAGGGCAGGGCGGGGTGGGGCAGGTATGCAGAGCAGGCCAGGTTGCGAGAGGGAGAGAGTACATACAGATCCAGAGTGGGTGGAGGTGGTGCTCATCCTGCGGTCACAGCTGCCGATGTGGGTCACAGGTTCTGAGCAAGGCCCTGCTGGCCAAAGCTCCTTCTTGGGCATCGCCTGAAGCAAGGCGCAGGCAGGGGTGGTGAGGGGGCCCCCAGAGGGGAAGTGAATGGAAGTGAAGATTATGTCCCAAGCTGGGCCTGAAAAGAGAACAATCAAAGCCACGTGTGAGCAGAGGCTTCGGCAAAGCACTGCTCAGGCCCCGGGGTTTTATGGCGGCAAGATACCAAGCAAGCACAGAGTTGGAAGGGGGCCATGGAGCAGTCACGCTGGGAACTCCATCCCCAGTCTGCATAGAGGGACACATAAGACGGTTCAAATGTATGCAGAAGGATGGATTCAGGGAGCAGAGATACAGGCTAGTCAGAAAAGAGGTTCTGGTGGTTCCTCTTGGCGGCCTTTTTTTTTTTTTTTCTAGGAAGCAAGGATTTCAACTTGTAATTTCATTATGCAACCCAATACACATTATAAGGTTCTGGGTTTGAATCCCAGTTGAACTAAAATTAGTTACTGATTTTAGGCAAATTACTTGTTAAATATAATTAATTTAAGGATTAAATGGGAGGCCAGTTAGCACACTCAGCTCCACTGGTAGCAGATAATCAGCAAGTGAATTTAAAAGATAGCTATTATTGTTGTTATAAAAATTGGACCAGATCTATCTCAGACCAAATTAAACCCAAGCACAGGGATCAAGAGTTTTGGAAAGAAGGGTTCTGTCTAAATGGAGGACTATAGGCTTGAGAGAAGGAACAGAGTCCTTAATAATATGCTTCTCAGAGTTATTATTAGACTAGGGAAAATGGAATAGCCTATACAGAACAGTGTATGCCCAATAATGTCAGCTGAAACTGTTGTTAATAATATTATAAATATGACACTTCCTTCAAGAAGGCTAAAGTCATCTTTCTGCCCTGGGCCACATGACCATGCACCTGCAGCGATTGAGGGCGGGCCCATTTCCACCATGTGACACTGTGTTCTGCCATTTATGCATTTGCAGCAAAGTTCCCTAGACTATGTCAAATGACAAGAAAAAAATGTCCAGTGTAGCTCCTCTCAATCCCAGCTTCGATGGGGAGAAATAGTTCAAGTTCATTGTGGCAACAATAATAGCAAAAACCAAATTAAACCAAAACAAAACCCATCTCATTGCTGCTACTGAAATTCCCAAGGATTTTTCACATCTGTCTGTGGGAGATAGTCCACCACAGCAGGGCAGGTCAAGACTAACTCTTTTCATAGAAAATGAAAATTTAAAAAAAAATTATGAACAAAATTCAGTTGTAAGGGCAAATATATAGTTAGGGGAGAGCTAGAATTACAACAAGTTTTATATGATTCAAATTCATATTTTGCCTGTAACACTAAGGTATATTTTACTCATTTCTGCTATTCTTCTAGTAGAAGGTAAACTGTCCTGGGATAGTATGTCTTATTTGAGATCTAGAGACTTGGGGCTTAGATGCCAGGGTACATATTCCTCTGTTGATAGTTGTTCCAGTGCCAATGCCAACTTTGGGCTGTTAGGTAAATCAGTCCTCCAACCTGGTCATTCCGGCAAAGGTAAGGCAAGCCCTCACAAGGCTCCTCCCCTGCTTAGGAGAGACCCATAAATGGGGTATGGAAGGACGAGAAGGAGGCAAGGGAGAGAAAAGGTAGGGTCCTGAGCCAGACACATAGGGTTCAGAGCCTCTCAGGAGGTGAGGAGGGGCCCCGAAGGGAAGGAAAAACAAAGAAGCCCCCATGCTAATCAAGACTGGGTGGGGCAGCTCTAGGATTTCTCTGTGAGGTCAGATCCTCGACATCCCAAACCCAAAGAAACAGAAACTCAAGAGCACTTGTAGACTAAGTCTGGTCACCTCAGCCATGCATTTCGTTAGTGAGTGCCCAGGCTGGGAGTGCACTAACCCATTCCCAGCCTTCTGCAAGGCCACTCAAAGCTGTTGTCTGCAGAGACACGTCTGCACATAGTGCTTAGGGGAGGCAGCAGCTGAGTGCTCAAATAAGACATTCATACTGTCTCCACCAAGGCTCAGGAAATACTGTGGAAGCATGGGAACAGAAAGAGCCAGAAATGGAGTGTGCATGTGTGTACATGTATGTATGTGTGTGTGTATGTATGTGTGTTAGGCATGGCATTTCCATGTACTCATGCCCTCTCCACAACTTCTGAAGACTGCCCTGGGTATGCATGAGAATAGACCACCAACAGCCAAGCAAGGACGGAGGAGGCACTCAGGGTGCCCTACCCCTCACTGCTGAACTATTCTCCAGGGACACATTCAGGGAAAGGGGGAGTATGAATTCAGTGTATTCCTTGGTGATCCCACCATAGATCACAAGAATGACCCTGGATAAACTAAATGGGATACATGACGAAGTCCCAAGTCATGAATGTGGGAATGGGATGGCTAGAGAAGAGGAAAGGGTGATGGGGTAGGAGGGAAGGAAGGAAGGAAAGGTGTGGGAGAGAGCAACCGGAATAGATTATATACATGCATGAAACTGTCAAAGAGCTAATGTAATAAAAACAAAAAACAATGCTGTCTGAATAAGCCTATAGGGTGAGTTGTTTGGATGGAGGCTTCTTCTTGGCTTCAACTCACCACTGGAAGCTTTTCAGAGTATTTTATTTTCCATAGAGTAAGTGATTCAGAAGAATTTGGAGAATGTTTGTTTAGATAGCATTTGTGAGCACCTAATAGGCACTATATAAGACAAAAAAACCCATCATTTTCAAGGAGTCAGTGTGGATTTTAGGGACTATTTTTGCCTACAGTTTCCCGTGTTTAATGAGTAATACATCTTTAGGGTGGCTCACTACAATTAGTGCAGGATTTTCTCCAAACGGGTGAGGTGGGGCCTCTTACTTTCAGAGACAATTACTACCTTCGGTCCCTCGGGCGCGCTTCAGGCTGCACTGTGGGTTGCTGGCGTCTGGGTCCTCCCAGGGAAGTCCACTGCACTCTTATTTTTACACCAGAAGCAAGTGAAGAGGTGCTGTGGGCATAGCTCTGCTTCACACCGTCTGGATGCTATCCCTACAGAGTGCTCTCAGATATGCTAATAGGATCTTCAAGAGAATGTGGGAGCATATTCCTCCTTTCACAACTGAGAAAACTGGGGGTCTCCCCAAATTCCTACATGAAATAGGAGTGACTAACACTTACAGACGACATCTCAGGACTGACTAGATGTCAGCCTACTCAAGTAAGGGTCATCGGCCACTCTGCTACCAGAAGTCCACTGCGTCATCCTTGAAACCCTGGGCTTTATCTAGCTCAGCTTTGAAGTTCTAGGTCACTTGTTTATCCTGACAACGAACCCAAGTAAAGGAACAGCCCTGAGTGCAGCTGCAGGTGATGCTGTGGGTGCCACATAATCTCAGGACGAGCGAACACTCAGCTTTACCTCCACACCCAGGTTTCTGACTCAGACCGTCTGGGCAGAAACCGTCTGTTCTCTACACTCTCCATCCCTGGACTGGCCTAACCTCGATGTTCTGTTTCTGCCTACCAAATTTATAACCTTGAAACTTGTGGGCTGTATCAGGGCAGCAATCGAAACTCTAAGCATTTCTAAGCCTGATAAGAAACCCGAGAAACAAGCAAAGCAGTCAAGGTGAGAGTTTGGTATCTTTTCACCCTTGACCTTTTTTTGGAGACTTAAGGGTAAAGGAAACAAGCTAAGAAATGTGCACAGCCTATAGTCAGGGCCACCTATCCAAAGACACATTAAATATTAACTTCTTCTTTGAAACTAGCCAAGCCTTGCAGGAGAGTAAATAAATGGGGCCCACAGAGCCCTGGCATCCAAAGCAGTGGGTGTGGAGAGGGCTTGAGCGCCATTCTGGGCTGTCTGAATCAGACCTCCTGAACAGAATCAGGTCTCCTCAGCACCCCCTCCCGTGAGCACACCCTCCTCTCTCGAGTCACAGAGGAATGCTGCTCTTCAGCAAGGCACTCGGCTTTCCTGGACTCAGCATGAGCCTTGGCTGGAGAAAACCAGGAAGGCAGGACAAGGGCTCCAAGGAGACGGAATTTGTACCATCCCTGCGATGTTAGTCTCTCTTTTATCAGTGCTTTGTGGGAGGGGCTTGATAGAAATACCGTCTGCACAGAAGAGCCCTGTTAGACATTGCAGGTGACCCGGTGGCCCTTACTGCTGACATTTGCCACCTAGTCTTCAGTCAGGGAGTGAGGCTGGCTGCTTTTATGAGGTAGGGAAAAGAACATTTAAAGCTCCAGCATTCAGGACCAGGGCAATGGTTCTTAATGGCAAGCCTCTGTCTCCAAAAAATATTTACATTACAACTCATAACAGTAGCTAATCATGGTTATGACATAGCAATGAAAATAGTTTTATGGTTGGGGGATCACCGAGGAACTGTACTGAAGGGTGGCAGTGTTGGGGAGGCTGAAAACCTCTGCTCTGGGGCTATGTGCTGAAGTGTTTTCAGATCCCCTCTGCTCTGCAGAAGGCCAGAGGTCAAGTTAGCAGCTGCATGTCGCTCCCCCCATGATGGTGGAGAGCTTAAGTGATCTTCTGATTGGAATCTATATGCTGCCTCCTCAGGCAGGGACACCTGCCACACTATTTTGTTAGCTGGGACGCTTGAAGAAGCGTGAAGTTGGTTCTCCTCTCTAAGGTCTCTGCCGCATCACCTTGGCCTACGTTCCACTTGGCAGTCTGGTTAGGCTTGGTATGCTGAGATGAAATAAAACGTGGGTGAGGCCCCGCACGGCCAAAGAACTTTCTGTTTTCCGGGGTCTACATCTATGAGCAGGTAAAGCCAGAGATTTGACTAGACTAGTGAACTTGAGCTGAGTTAGATTATCTGTGGGCTTTCCAAGGATGAAATGCTAGCCCGAGTTGGAGTTTTCTCAACATTTATTTCCAAACCTCAATTCCCATTGCTAACAATCTAGCTCAGTTCAAACTTTACATATCCGCACAGAGTGCACCATTATCTACAAACACACACACTGCACCCTTTATTTAAATAAAGATAGACTCTGAGCCACAGGAGAATTTCCTTTCACAAATGTAATAGAAAACTAAGGTGCCTGGCTCACCTGCATGACCCTCCCCGCCATTTTGACTGTCTCTGCTTCAATTATTCAATTATCCACTTAGTCTCCTTCAAAATTGCTGCTTGATCTTAGCTGCTCAGAGATGGAAGTTTCCAAAATCTAAACAAAGTTGGTCGTCCCCCCGCCCCCTTTGAGACAGGTTTTGCCAGACATGACAAGCCGAACAGCCTGGCTTCATACTTTCCATCCTCCAGCTTCAGCCATGGGAGCTGTGATTACAGGCGCATACCAGCATGCCTGTCTCTGGTTTCTGTTTGTAGAATACACCTATGTAACTTAAATAAGTAAACGAAAGAGATGTTCCCCAGTTCTCCAGAAAATACTTCAACTCTGGGGGAAAAAAAGAAAAACCTCCTCTGGCTTAATCTTAGGCTGACTGAGAGACTTGAGCAACAGAGATGGAAACCCCAGACTGGATGTGAAGGGACGACACTTTTGCTGCACCCCCAGAACAGCTCTGTAGTCTTCCCCTAAGATCCCTTCCCTTGCTTCAGAGTAAGCAAGAACTGGTTAGTGATTGACTCACCTCTCGGTTGGGGTCTGAAGAGAAGAAAGGAATACTCTTGTACTCCAAAGGGCAGAGATGGAGACGGCTTGCCTCACCGCTGCCGCTCCTACTGTTTTCTTCTTTTGACCTCCTCCTGACTTACCTAGACAGGTAAATGCTTCATCTGTGCTGCCTGGACACACCCTGCTGCTGACTCTCAGCCAATCCTAGTTTCCCTCCCTACTCCTCATTCCAGCTGTTAAGTCAGGGAGGGCTCGGTAGGGAAAAGAGTAGGGTGGTGCTTCTCTGCCTTAGCCAATCACCTCCTGCCCTCGCCCCGCCCCCTTTTTGGCTTAGAGCCAATAGAGAGCTAAAACAGAGAGGTAGGAAAAGGCTGGAGCTGGTTTGAACCGAGAGTGAAGAGAGAAAGGAGAGTTTGGAAGGATGGAAGTAGGCCAATGGTACTTGATTTTCCTCCTTGAAAGGAACACAACATTCTGGCTGGGCACAGAGAAGTTTCTGCACCCCGATAAGCCTCTCCACCAGACGCAATAATCCAAATCAAACCAAATCAAACCGAATTAGAAAAAGCCCAGGTTTAATGGTTACAAATGCTCCCGGTTGGCTTTCCAATCCCACCCCCACCCTCCCCCCCAGGTGATGGGAAAGATAGACCTCTGTTCTCTCGGAGATAGTTTAAATACCCAGTGAGAATGATCTTGAGCATCTCTGGGGAGGGATCATCGGTTGGCGGGCTTTCTTGGGGGCGGAGTCTGGACTGAGGCAACTCCCAGGGGAGGGGGCTTGGGGTGGAACTTCTACCTGAACATTCCAGACTTTGCGTGTCTGGATGACCGGGGCTGGGGTGAAGTTTCCGCCCAAAAAGGCACCATGTATTTCTATGGGCCTACAGAGATCCGGCTTTCCTGTTTAGACCATCCTTCCTCCACTTGAAGCTGAAAGTATTCTTCAGGCTAATATTCTGATGGCTAGTTTTAGAATCAGCTTTTCTAACTCTCGGTCATAGACAGTTTCATATTCAAAGAAGGTTCAGGGATATCAAGGTTAGAGATGTAGCCGACTCACCCGCTTGCTGATTTGTCGTCCTGGTAGTTTTCTTTCTGGGGAAATAAAACCAACTTCTCTCCCTCTAGAAAGTCCCTTTCCAGATTTAAAATAATAATAATAATGCTAGAGCAAACAGCCAGAAAGTATAGAACTTGACCTCTGTCATTTGGGTCTCTGGTCCCTTCGGTTGCTTAGAGAAGGTGGCAATGGACATAGAAAACAAGTAAAGTCAGCTCCCCACCAGCCTAGCAAGCACTTCTGTGGTGGGGAAATGTTTGGTGTGTATGGGAGAGGAGGGTGAGTGAGAAATCTCCTGCTTCCAGGAAGAAATCTCCCTCCAGGTGCAGAGGCCACTCAGGGCAGAGGGGACCGACTTCTCTGCAGCTGCCTTGTTCTCCTGAATGTAGCTTATCCCTAGAAACGACCAACTTTAAAGTATTTCACTTGCCGGCAGTAAAAGGGCGGAATGAAAACGTACTGCAAGGATTGCTTAGTTCAAACCCTTGCTGTGTGCTGGGTATCACATTTAACATTTCCATGTCTTCAACTAAAAGCATTGGCATTGTTACTATCCACACTTCATAGGGAGGTTAAACTTCCTCTTTTTTATTCAGTCGGCATTGTGTGTGTGTGTGTGTGTGTGTGTGTGTGTGTGTGTGTGTGTGTAATCTAGATAAAACCTGACAGGTATGCCCAGAGGCATGCTTCCCAGATGATTTTAGAACCTGATTCAACAAGCAAGACCCTCACTCTGCAGTAACAGTTTTAAGAGACTAGTGAAATGAAGCTGTTTTTAATACACTAATGAAGAGACAGCAAGAAGAGCTGGCATGGCATTTTGGTAGAAAACAGTGGTTTTTAAAAGTCCCTGATTTTGAGAAGTTCTTTTTCCTATATGCAGTACCCAGGAAATTATCATCTTTGCTTTCTTCCAGCAGAGACGTCTCCCAAACCCCCAGATCTATTGGTTTGCAAGGCAAAGCCTTCTCAAATGAATATTCTGGGGCTTGAGAATGTTTCATTTTCTTTTGGTGGGCTCAGTCATGGTCACATAGCTGTCTGTCACTTTCCAGCTCTCAGAGTTTTGAGGCAAGAAGGCACCAGCTGGCAGCTAGGGGAGAGAGGGCCTAGTGCTTTGTGCTTATCTGTGACTGAACTGCTCTGAATTCAGCTGGTATTGATGAGGGGCCTCACCATTTCCTATACAGTCAAACTGACAATCAATCAACCATCACAGTTGTCAGGCACCAGTATGATTCCAGTCTGCCTATACTATGGAAAAAAAATTCCCCAGTGGGAAGCATTAGGTACACGGATAATTTGCATACTCAATTCTAACAATTTGCTTCATTTTCTATTTCATTTTTGGCTTGCAGATGTTTCTGTTTTTTAGGATGACACATGGTTTTTCTTTTCTCTGTGATCATAGGTGGGAGGGAAGTATCCCGGAGCCATGAAGAGGAATAATGTGAAGGAAACCTGAGAACACTTGGGACAACCTGGGACCCTGTTGGCATCGTATGGATCAGAGATGACTGAGGTCTTCAGGGCTGTGACTTCTGCTTCTAATTCATCATCAAACATATGTGATGTCATAATACTGAGAAAACAGTAGGGATCTCCACATCCATTCACTGCAACTGGAGCTCCACCCATGCTGGGGTTGCCGGATTTGATTCAGATTTATATAGGTGAATGATTTAAACATTTGCTTAAAATACAAGCAAAAATTCAATGAATCTCCCAAAAGACTACAAACAGGCAATTATTCAACTTACAATAAACTTAGAATGATCAGAGGGTCCCTTACCTCCTTTTCTCTTTCATCCTAGACATTTGTCTTGGGAAATAAATGTTTCAGGCACCTGGGCACAGCACCCTGCTGTCTACCACTCAGGTATAAAATGTTACCATTGTAGCTGGACTTACATCTAAGTCTTGGCTCATCTCCCCATTCCTCAAAGTACACATATGTCCTGGTTGAAATAAACTACTATCCTAACTCTGTTTCTGTAACATGAGGTGGCCATGTTGGGCGCCATTCTGTAACAATTGTGGGGACCTGGTGGGAGGATAGAAAAACCCCCAACAAACAGGCCCCATCAACTGTCAAATCTTACCAAGACAGGGTAAGACGGTTTTGAAAAATCTCTTGCCTGTTAAAATCTGGAAATGGATACAATCCGGAAATGGATAAACAGAACTGTTAAATCTTGCCAAGCCAGGGTAAGATGGTTTTGAAAAATCTCTTGCCTGTTAAAAATAATCTGTCAGTTATTCTAGGCCTTAGTCAAAGTTGGTTGCTTCAACGCTGCAAACAGGTCTTTGGTGATTGCCCAGGTAGCCAGTTGTCTCTGTGATTTGTTGCATCTTTTGGAAGTTCTTTGATTGCACTTCCTAATTACTCAGGTAACATTATTTCCCTTTTCGGATCTTCTATGGAGTTGAAGACTAGATAAATGTAGCTACTTTCCTCTCATGACTTGGCCAAGTTATTTATTATACAAGATTTTAGCTAGTTAGAATAGGATATTTGTACTTATTGCATATAATTTTGTAGGTTTGTACTTACTGTATATAATTTCATAGTAGGCTTAGAACTCTCTTACTTAAACAAAAGGGGGAGGTGCTGCAGGAGTACCTTCCGCTGCTTCAGCCAATAGTCGCTGACGCACGAGCCCACAGTGCTGCGGGAGTGCCTTCCGCTCCGTCAGCCAATAGCCACTGAAATACCAGCCCACTGGGGTGTGGTATATTTCTCTTTAAAAGAAGAGTGGCAAACCTCAGCTCGGCCTCTTGGTTCCGGAGCTTGGTTCCGGCTCCTGCTCATGCGACTAGGCTCCTTTCCTGACGATTTATGTGCATGTAAGTTTACCCCCCAAAATAAATGCCCCTTTAAAACCTAACTGGTATGGGATTGATTTGCCATTATGTTTCCTATATTGCACACATGTTGATAGCTGAGCCATGAGATATATGGTCACTCACCTTTCCTATGTACCTGTCTCTACACCCTCCACCCCACCCATTATGTAAATTCCCTCTCAGTATACTCACATATACATTGTTTTCTATCAGTCTCATCCTGAAGAAAAATCTCCTTCAGACTTCACATTTGTATCAGTTTGGGGAAGAGTGTTGTGTAGCTGGTCAATGGCTATCATTTTATTATCTTCATCAATAACTGGGAGAAAGCCCTTTTCTCTTGAGTTACCTGGAGCGCAGACTTTATTCCTTCTTAGCCCTCTTCTTTTGGCATAGCAGTTTCTATTAGTTTCTTATGGACAAATGTTTAAAATTCTGCATGTCTGAAATAACTTTATCTCTACTTGATTCGGTGGCTGTGTACACAGTGTTAATGTCTGCTAGCTTCCAGCATTGTTTTTGAAAAGCCTCCAAAGTATTTGACCGTAAATTTTAGGCCCTTCTCTGTTTCTAGTACTTATAAATGATGATGATATGTTTTTAAGAGTCAAAGACTTTATTTGAAGCTCTAGTTCTAGCCATATCAAAGGTCTTGGACTTTCCAGTAAGAGCTAATAAAATTCCTTTGAGACAAAGATCTGATGATTCATTTGAATGCCTTCATGCCCTTTTAGTCACTCTATGACAAACATCAAGGCCAGTGTCTATTTCCTTAGACCCTGATTTCATTTATTCATATTCATTCATTCAAATATATAAAAAATATCTGTTATGTCCCAGTATTTTACTAGAAGACAGAAGTTGGTCTGCTCACATGAAGCAAACTGGATGTCTCCATTTGTCATGCATATGCACATACCCGTATGGACACAAGTGCCTGGAATAAGGGCTTAAGACAGTGAAAGATAGCACAAATCTGGGTCCTTGCCCACGTCTAAAAGCATCTATTTTCTTCTCCCCTCACTTGTACTATGGGCAGAATTTAGGGAACTACTTGGGTCCCTCTCACAGTACTGAGTCTACAGATGCTGCCATATCCCAGTTCAATGCTCCTCCTACTCTTTAAAGGATTAATTATGACACAGAGTTTAGCTTTCATCCCTAATACTATGATTTCTAAAAGGCGCTCCCAGACTCACCGATTTTAATTTGCTCTTCCCATCCCATTATTTTCTTCATGGATCCCACGTTCTAATTTCCTTAGAGCACTGTGTCTTTATTTCTCCTTCCAGTGCATCTAGCACCCAGGGCAGTTTCTGAAACAATAGTGCCGTTCAAGAAAGCTCACTGAATGAATCTGCATTTTTGTTTATTTTTGGTAATCCTGAGAAATGTGACATTGTGCCCCACAAGGAGAATTTAGGAAGGATTTAACAGCTTACCTGAAATAACTTAGCTTCTCTTAGACAAAAATCATCTTAGTTTTCATCTCTATAGGAAGACAGACAGAACTGGACATAGGCACGGTAGTGCATGCC